AAGGAAGATGGGGCACTCTACTTCTGTAGTGATACTGCCTCGGAAACCCAAGGAGGGGTCACTATGAGTTGGGTCCGACTGGACGGCACATAACAACAACAGATAAAATCTAACTGATGGCACTTGGTAGAATAAAATGTACTGTTTACACAATCCATGCAGTTCTTTGGGTACATTTGGACAAATTTATTCTTTCAGCATTTTCTCAGTAAGTAGAAATTAAATTAACTGCTTTAGTTGATTTCTTGACTTGTTTTTCTTTCAGATAAACCATTCTTTAAAAAATTCTCTATTAAATTTTTTGGGGATATGGGTGTTAGAAGGATTTGAGGTTTGTGATTCTGAGGCCAAAATCAGTTGTATGGGTTCGGTTTCATTTGAAAAATCATTTGAGATGTATTGAAGATTTATTGTACTAAGGGTTTATTATACCCACTGGTTATTCCTCTTGGCTTAAATGAATTCTTTACAAATGCCTGGCTGTCTTTTAAGCATACAGAAACTTTAGGATTGATAAATCTTATGACATTGTCTTTTCTGTGGGGGACAGTCTTAGAAATTAGTGATTATTTTTCTGGAATCAGCTAGCTTTTAGATGTTAGTAGCTGAATCATGCCCATGACTCATTGCAGGCTTTCATGTTTGTGCAGAGAATATTAGGTTTATGAATTTTATAGCAATTAAATATGACTGAAATGGAAATTTCTTGCCCTTTGACTTTTCTCTCATTTTTCCCAACCTAAGAAACTTTGGCACCACTGCCGATTACCTAAATGAAAACTATGTGAGTTCTGTTTCATTAGCGAGTTTGTTGTTTTAAGTCAAAGAAGTTCAGATTTTTCTTAGGCGCTAATTCTGCATATTTCAGTCATAAAAGGAGATATTTTTACTTCAGTGGTACACTTTTTATAGGAGCTCTGGTGGTGTAGTGCCTAAGGTATTTGACTGCTAACCAGAAGGCTGTGCGGTTCAAACCCACCAGCCACTCCTTGGACGGAAGATCGGGCAATCTACTTCCGTAGAGATGCCACCTTGGAAACCCAAGGAGAGGTTGCTGTGAATCAGATCATATCGATGGTAGTGAGTTTGGTTTTTGGTTTTTGGTGAGCTTTTTAATTAGGGAGGACAGTATTTGTGAGGTAATATTTCCTATATTTCACTTTTCAAGGACTTTTAAATGAGCTGAACAGTGATAATAAAATTACAGGATAAAATATGTAAATGACTATAATGCAACTATTGTTTGGACCAATTGAGACTTCTACCTTATAAAGTACATGGGCCTGTTACTGACTGGGTACACCCTCATTCTTTAGAAGTGTTCCCATGAGGTAATTCCTTTTCCTTGTTAAGCTAAAAGTAGTGAGCCAAAGAGATGCATAATGTATTTAAAATTACATTTTTTCTAGTTATACATTATTAATTGGATACCATGAATTACAGCTCTACCAAGCAGCAACAGTGCATTTGGAATTCTAAAGATTTCTTTTACGTTGCCATATTGATTTTTAATTTTTGAGGGCCTAGTCATATATTAGATATCATAGGAAACACAAGATGTGGTTATCTCTGCCATGTGGCAGTTGGTAGTGGGAGACCTAATAGATCCCTTTAATTAAAAAAAAATTCTCTTTTTAAAACTGTAAATGGTAGGAAAATTACTAAGTGTGTCTTTGGCATTTGATTTTACCTGTTATTTTCTTGTCTTCACACTTAATTCTGTATTAATTTGGGTAGATTTGTTTGTAGTGGTATGCATTTATTTTGATCTTTTGAATGAGGTCAGAGTTCCTGGATGGTATGAACAGTATGCTAGAAAGTACAGCAATGGGAAAACTGAATAAAGGAAATTTTATTGGAATAAAGGAAGCTTAGAACAGAATAAGAGATATTCTGGGTAACTGAGTGGAAGGTGTTGAGTTAGTGTGAAACAATTAGGAACCAAACATAAGCAATGTGAGTGGATGAGAATAATGAAATCAGAAGGCTAAGAAATAAGCAGTGATTTCACTAACAGCTGTAGGACTACCTCAAATGAAGAAGAGAGTGTTATTCAGTGTGATCAGTAGACAAGGTCTACAATCTGCAAAAATGGGACCTGGGTGTCCTCATAGTTTCTGGTGTGTTCTTGTGGGAGATGGGTTTATTTTGGAACATGGTGATGACAGGAAGGCAGAAAATGTTATTAGGTGAACATGAAAAATCCAGGGTACAGTTATTGAAGAGCTTTTTGGAATAAGTGCTGAGAGAAGTCATGACTATAAATTCTTCAGTAAAAGAATTTTCAATGAGAAATGGAGAAGCTGAGGAGTTCAAATGATGAAATGAATATCTAAAAGTCATTGGGCCTTTAAAAAACTGGTTTTACAGATGGACAGAGGATATAAATACACACTTCACTGAAGAAAATATTCATGCAGCCAACAAACACGTGAAGTAATGCTCGTGAACATTAGCCATAGAGAGATGCAGATCAAAATGACAATGAGATACCATCTCACTCCAGCAATAATAGCAAAGTTCAACGAACAGAAAACAACAAATGCGAGCAAGGATGTGAAGAGTTTGAAACTCTCATACACTGCTGTTGGGATTGTAAAATGATATAACCACTATGGGAAGCAATATGGCTCTTCCTTAAAAAGTTGGAAATAGAAATACCATTTGATCCAGCAATCCTACTAACCAAATAAAAACCAGACTCACTGCTGTCAAGTCAGATCCGACTCATAGCGACCCCTCCTTGGGTTTCTGAGGCAGTATCACTGCAGAAGTAGATTGCCTAGTCTTCCCGAGGAGTGGCTGGTGGGTTTGAGATGCCAGCCTTCTGGTTAGCAGTCAGATGCCTTAGGCACTAAGCTACTAGAGCTCCTAGCAATCCCACTACTAGCTATATATCCTAAAGAAGTGAGAGGCAAGATATGAATAGATATATGCACACCCATGTCCATTGCAGCACTTTTCACAATAGCAAAGAGATGTAAACAGCCTAAGTAGCCATCAAAAGATGACTGGATAACCAAACTGTGGTACATGCACACAGTGGAATATATGCAACATTAAAGAATAATGATAATGATAATAAAGTAGCTCTGGTGGTGTAGTGCTTAAGGCATTTATTTGATCACTAACCAGAAGGCTGCTGGTTCAAACCCACTCCTCGGAAGGAAGATTGGGCAATCTACTCCCGTAGTGATACTGCCTCGGAAACCCAAGGAGAGGTTGCTATGAGTCAAATCAACTCGATGGTAATGAGTTTTTTTTTTTGGTCCCTTCTGACATGACCAAAGTAGGTGAGATGAGGTCTGTCTGTTCTCCCTTCTAAGGATCATTCTGGCTGTACTTCTTCCAAAACACATTTGTTTTTTCTTTTGGTAGTCCATGGTATTTTCAATATTCTTCATCAGCACCACAATTCAAATGCATCAATTCTTCTGCAGTCTTTTTTATTCTTGTCCAGCTTTCATATGCATATGAGGCCATTGAAAATACCATGGCTTGGGTCAGGCACATCTTAGTCTTCAAAGTGACAGTACCTTAGGGTTGATTTAAGGACATGTATGTATATATTTTTCACTATAAGACTCAAGATAGTTAATCTAATTTTGAAAAATTATTTTCTTTTTATCTTTCCAGATCTAACCCCTGCTGTGGAACTACTGAACATCTTTTATTAGTGGAAACGTTATGCTTTTCTTCTACACAATGGAGTTGACATCTTAATTTAATACCAGGGTTTGTGTGATTCTGATTCACCTGCTATAGTTCATGAAGCTTGAATCTAAGGAGTACAGGGTCTTTTGCGATGACAATATGACTAATAGTAAAGGAAGATTGATTACCAGTAAAACAAGTGATGGTCCAAATAGTGGGGGAGGTTTTGTAGATTGGACTTTAAATTTAAATACAATTCAGTCTGATAAGTTTTTAAACTTATTGTTGAGTATGGTTCCAGTCATTTACCAGAAAAATCCAGAAGACAGGCACAAAAAACCAAACAGCATTTGGCAAGATGGGTTATCAGCTGCAGCACAGACCTATAGTAATAGATCTGATCAGCACATGGAGTATCATGGTTTCCCAGAACAGTCTTTTCATGGCAACAGTGGGCATGCACCATCAAGCTGCAGCCAACAGTATGACGACTATGCCAACTATAATTATTGTGATGGAAGGGAGGCTTCAGAAACTACTGCCATGTTACAAAATGAAGATAATTCTAGTGATGTTGGTGAGGATACCATTGTGGAAATGAACCAGAAGTTACCAAAGGAATCCAGTGGAGTTATGGCATTGCAAATACTTGTACCATTTTTGCTAGCTGGCTTTGGAACAGTTTCGGCTGGCATGGTTTTGGATATAGTACAGGTGAGTTTTCATCTTTATTTAAAATTACTGTCATTTTTGATGTTCCATTTCTGTTTAGAATGCTTCACATCTGTTATTTATCTCAAACATTACTTTAAATTTCATTTGTTCCTTAGTAAAATAAATGAGTGCTGACTGGTTGAGAATCTGCTATTTCTAGGAGTTTCTTTTAAGTTATAAAAGAATCATCTCATTCTGATTTTAAAGTGATTATCTACAGACCCTAAAATAGATAAATTGTTTAAACAAACCAATAGATGTTGTTCTGGTTACCTAGTGCCACTCTGACAAGAATATACCACAAATGGGATGGCCTTAAAAAACAGGAGTTTATTCTCTTACAGTTTGGAGGCTTTAAGTCCAAGTTCAAAGTACCAGGCTCTAGGGGCTGGGTGAAAGCCCCTCGACCTTGGGCTTTGCAAAAACGGCAAGGAGGTCACATGTTCTGACCTCCTCTAACCCTACAAGGGGAAGGCAGGATTACCAGCAGTAACCCAAGGCCAAACATGCTGCCTCCCTCCAGCCCTTTCACCAACCGTTCCTCCCAAAGCACCCACCACCTCCCTCCTGGGTTCGATAATTCGCTGCAGTGGCCACACAGAACTCACAGATTACAGGGTTTATCAGGGAAGCACCAAGCTACAACTCAAGTTCAGGAAG